ATTGTGACTGTTTGGCTACAAGTGCTTCTCTGTCTCACTCCCATTTCGTCTCTCTCTTTGTGAAGGAAACTTTTTCTGTTGGGGTTTATGGCATGTGAACTGATATATTTCTTTGTCCTGGTGGTTTCTGTCCTGTGTATCTATGAGGGAGGGAGGGAGGGAGGGAGGGAGGGAGGAAGGGAGAGGTTTGCATGTACATTCTCTTATTTTCACTTTTGTTTCTCTCTTTCTCTGTCTGTATTCCTTCTGCTGGGGCTTTTTTGAGCATTTGAAAAATGAGAGTGTTTCTTTTTTTTCTTTGTGGATTTTGTCATGCTTGTGTATATATGAGAGATAGTAACTTATCTTGAATTCTAATACTGGCTATAGCCAGATTAAGTAGCTTGACTTGTGAAAAATTTTGTTTCAAAATCTCTATAACATTATGGGTTTATCATAATTTTTTTATTTTTACAGTAGATTTAGAAATTATTGTTCTTATGAGAAGGGAAGAAGAGGAAAATGGCATAGGAGTTAGCCTTTTTAGAGGTCCTTCTCTTAAATCAACCATCAAATACTGGGGTCACCTTTCAAACAAATTGCTTTGATTTCCAGCAGTTTGCATCAATTGGTGGCTATATTTATCTTCAATAGATGATAATAATTGCCCCATTAATGAAGGAGAAGGGAAAGAGAAAAGAGTACGCCGCTAAAAACTGATAGATGATTGCAAAGAAACCTTGGGACAATTAGATAAAGGGGAAAAGGGTGACAAAAATAAAATAATGCCTTAAGTTTACAGCAGTATTCTTTCACATGATACTCTCACCATATGTTGTCCTTGTGGACCATGAGCATTTAATGGCAAAACCTAAGTTAAATGTTTGAATTGGTTCAGTTAGAAGTGAAAGGTGCAATTTGAGAATAATATCCATGTTCTAGGATCTTTTTAACTATTCTCTAAAATATAATACATTATTATCTACATTAAAGTTGTAATGTTAGATCATTTGATGAGCTACAATAAAAAAACAGCATATTTATTTGTTATAGCAACTAATCTCAGTTCATTGGTTGCATAGGGAATGGAGTATATTTCTTTGTTTTTCTTAAACTTGATGTTGATTCATTCTACTTTGGTCCCAGATTTGAACTTTTTTTCTGCATATTTCCATATAGAGAACAATGGCCTTTAACCCTTCCTATAAATAATTTGTGGAATCTTGTAACCTCTCAATTTCATTTGAACAATTTTTTCTGATAACTGCGAATCACTTTCTTCAGGAAATTAGAAGATGGGGATATTGTGAATGTCGATGTGACTGTGTATTATAAAGGTGTCCATGGTAAGAAATCTCAACCCTATGGATAAATTAGTCTTATTGCCAGGATTCTAAATGCTTGACGAATGTGCAGGTGATCTCAATGAGACATACTTTGTGGGAAATGTTGATGAAACATCTTGCCAATTGGTTCAATGTACATATGAGTGTCTAGAGAAAGCAATAGCCATTGGTATGCATATCCAGGACTCTTAATGCTCTTGCTTGTCTCAAAAAAAAAAAAAAGGAAATCCATTAGCATGCATTGTGTATTTGCGTTGACATTGTAATCATGATATTCGGAAATGTTAGAGGGTCCTTTTCTCTAATATGACCTCTTTTGTGTCTTTCTTCTAGTTCTTTATTTGAAAATATATGAATTTTGATTCTCTACATTCTCTTGTATCTTTTTTTATAAAGGAATGTTTTATCGATTAGGTATTAAAAGGGTGCCACCCATATACAAAACTGTAAAGACCTCTATTATTGTTGAATGCGCTTGAGAGGAGCACAGTTTCTATTGGATACTATATTAGTTACATTGACTTTGATGCTGCTAAAATAATAGGTCATTTTTGACATTTCTACTCATATTTGCTTATCTATTGGTTGGTTTTAGAGGTTCAAGCGATTAAGTTAGTTTACACACAAGAAAATAGTGGGA